CGGCCGATGCCGGTTCAAGCTGGCAAGCACATCGCCTTGAGCAGCACATCCTTGGCCGCTCTATGTCCCAGACCTAATCCAGTGTGTCGACCGTCTGCTTAACAGCTTAAACCCAAATTCCTCCAAAGAAGTCTTGAAGCATGGTTTTGAGAGTCTCGTTGGTGAACCGTGTCCAGAGCGGTTAAGCCTGCCGGCAGTGACAGCCAAGCATTCTACCATCGGCCTCCGCGGCATCAGGCCGCAGGCTAGTAGCTTCCCCGATGAGACTAGACCACTCTGCGGGAGCATGGCAGAATCCATCTCAGGCCAACGGTTTTTACTCGAGGATTCCGAGCTAAATAACGGTGCAATCAAGATGAAAGGTCAGAGATTCTGCTTCCGTTTCTCCTGCTACACTAGTTAACTAGCTACTATCACTAGTTCAACTCTAAGCCTCCAAGCCTCTAAGCCTCGCAAGTGAGCTCCTGGCCGCTTCAATCTCCCCCAGCTCGATGCGGAAGCCGCGGAACTTCACCTGACTGCCCAGTCACTCACTCAAACTTCAGCCTGGAAAAGGCCTGCTCGTCTTTGCGGCCCAGGAATTCTAAGCCAGCTCCTCCAAGGCAGACTTGGAGTCCCGGGGAAACCTTCAGATGAGACCGCTGGCCTCGGTCCGGCAGAACCCTCACGAGGTCCCCCGTCCGATAGACCTCAAAATCGGAATCACCAAACCACAACACGATGATTTGCATCCAATGCCAGAAACTTCTGCGCCCTGGACGAGGGGCTGTTCCGTGGCTGTCTTCCAGGAAACTTGCAGCTGTTAGTTGCGGCCGTTGATGGTATCCCAACGCCACACCGACCCCTGAGACCTCGCTGGGAGAATAAAGGCACGATGTCGGGGCCTCTTCGCAGAGACTTGCGGCCGCGCTACGAGCAGCTCGCCAGTCACTTCGGGGGCATTGGCCTCACGCTCTGTAAGCAGCTGCGGAGGTTTTCTTTAACTCCACCCTTCCATGGCCCGCTTGACAGAAGCACCTCCTCTTCCGAGATCGTCAAGGTGACGTTGGGAAGCGGCAGGCCAATGGGGATGGATGAGCAGCTTTCGCATTGGCCTTGGGTGCGCCAATTTTTCCAGTTCTGCAGATTGGGTCCGCCGGTCCGCCAAGCAGCCAGGCAACCAGGCTCTATCGGGTAAGTGGTGCTCCAGATCGTGGCTTCCTTGCAGGGCTGCCGTGTCATCATGGCCACAGAAGCACAAGCATCCCCATATAGCGCGGAATACTTCGGTCCGTCGGCCCGTAAGCATTCCAGACACCAGCGCCAGCAGCCATGGTCAGTGGGCTCACGAGGCTCTGCGGAAAAGCCTGCCGCCAGAGGAGAGACGAGGAATAAGCGCACAAGTCATGTAAGACACACCTCTCCGCCACAGATGCCAGCCAGACCTGCGGCAAAGCAGGGCGAGTGCGTACGGCGGAAACTTGGATACATTAACCGATGCCTGCATGGCCCCGCCAGCCGGCGGCCACCAAAGATCGCCACAAGGCAGGCGTGCCTTGCAACACGTCTGCCTCCTGTCCAGTGCTTGGCTTTGCTGAGGTGAACGGCCCTCTTTGCAATCCAGTACATCAGTACATGGTGTGTTTCTGTGTTTGTCACATCAACAGGTACCTGGTGCTGCTGGACCAGCTGAGAAAGCTTCATTCCATTCCGTGCTGTGCTGGCCTCAACACTGCTTCGATTTGTCATGCAAGCATCAGTGGGAGTGCACACAGGCACACAGGCGTGCACGTTGCATCCAGGTCACGGAAACAATGAATACGGAAAACCCGAAACACAATGGCCAAAATATCTCCAGCACGGAGATGTCGAAGCCTTTGCCAAGATGGACAACTCCGAACTGACGAGATAAAGCGTCGTTTGGCTTGCAGCAGGACTGGAACGAGGTTCGGGCAATACGTGGTCGGGGCCAGCAGCATTCGCCCAACACACTTCGAGTCTGGCTTGCGGATCATCTCGTCAAACGTATGAAGTACGTTCCTTAATATTCCAAGGGCGTGGAAGCAGGGCTGAAGTGGATGATGCAACTCGCCCTGGCACAACTCTGCACGGCCGTGGCTCACTACACCGCGGCGTGGCACCAGGACACCTAGCAGCACCGGGTGGGAAAGCGCACGCAAGGCACGCAAGGACATCTAAGTCTGCTACCCTTTGGGGTTCCCGTGCTCCCAGAGGTGTACCTCAAAGCTGAGCAGGCAACGCTACACTGAAAAGCCCTCCTTCAGCTCGGTGGCATCAAGTATGCCGGACGTTCGAGGTCGCCCCCGACATCTCCTTGAGCGTCTTTGCTCTCGGGGACCGGGGCATTCATCAGTCGACCTTTGGCTTGTGGCTATTGCGATTGATGGCAAGCAAGAAAACACTGCAGCCACAAACGTACAGACCATACAGAGGAAAGTACCCAAGACTGAAACAGGAAGACTTTGCAGCCAGGGCACCGTCCATCGCTGTTATTCTGACCAGCCGATCCTCCGGAAGGAGACCGCGGCGACGAGCGCACCAACAAGTCACCAGGTATCGAGCTTTGGAGTCATCCAAGAGGAAGCGCAGTCGAGCACCGGGATGCGTGGGCTCGAGCGGCAGGTATGCGGCACCCGCGGCGAGGATGGCCAGCAGAGCAACCACCATAGCGGGCGTACCTTGCGAGCAGCGAAGGAAGTAGTAGGGCCCTTCACGACTAACAAGAACTAGCGAAGCCCTGCGTGCAAAACATTCCCAAGTTCGCCAAGTGTGCGTTGCAGACACACTGCCACGATACTATTATCCAGGTCAGCCTCCTGGGGCTTTCGGCGCAGACGCCGCAGCTCTTGCTCCAAGGTCCAGGTTCGGGCTGTTAGCTCATCGTATGTCAACATCGTCCGATGTCGACTCAGCTGGTCCTGCAATCTGTTGACATCTTCTGACCCTTCTCCCCGGCTCGTTTCCAGGCAGCTGCCGAGTCCTCTCTGTCCAAGTCCGCAGCGTCAGGCACTGCATCCGCTTCGCATTGCACGGCCACTGCCGTCTTGGCGCGTGCTGCGGCTTCTGCGACCAACTCAGGCACATCCCGCCCATCGCAGCATCTCGTGGGTCCGGAGAGACTCCACGGCATCGCGGGTAGAGGCCACTGCGATTGGCATCTCTTAGGTTCTAATTCGTCGTCGAAAAAGTCTGCACATTACTTGTACCGTTTCTAAGTTTCGAGCAGGAGTGCAGGAACACTAGGGACTGTTGCTGCATGCCGCGTCGCGGATTTACTTCATTGATCGAGGCACATCGCAGCACTAGCATCTGCGACGCGTCGGCAGCTAGTAGCGTACTGCTTGTCTTGGTGTGTTCGCATCTCATGGCCGGAACCAGTTGGGCATGCCATCACAACACAACACAGCTTTATTCTGGCTCTGCTCGCTGTGTGCCGTTCGGCGGCTGCGGCCGAACACGAAGCGATCATGAACAGGCATGTGTGGCATGGGGAGCCGATGTTGTCCAACTCGTATTTCCCCGAGCTTGTTTAAGATTTTTCCTGAACACGACAGAATAGACCTGGCTTGAGTCGCATTGAGCTTTTCAGACATGCGCGTCGTAGAGGACTTTTCACGAGTGCCCTCACCCCTTCACATTCTTCGCAGCAGGTGTGAAGACGAGCTTCTGCTCTTCCGAGGGGCTTGCCACCTGGGCCATTGATCTGAATGCTTCTTTTCCATCTGTTCTCTCGCTAGCTCTCGTCTCGCGCACCACCGCCTTACAGTGAACTGAGCAAGAACGCACCCCCTGCCGAGATGCTGATGTTTGCAGAGCAGACTGCTTGCTGCGCAGCGTGCTGAGAACTGTGGCCTCCGCTGGCGAAAGGGCAGCGACGAGGCCTGCCTGGTCCTTGATCTCGGACGCGTTCCACGAGCCAGCAGCATACCCCACCCTTTGCATATATGCCCTGCAGTTGTCGTTGTTCTCAATCTCAGTCAACTCAGCAGTGGACAGGTCAGCAACCCACGACGGAGGCAGTAATTCGTCGGCCGCTCTCTGTCCATCCTTTCCGAGCACCCGAAATGCCTGCATGTCCTCGTTCACCAGTCTGGCAACCTCACCACCAAACCTAGATGTGTCCAGGGTCCATCTTTCATAAACACTGATCAGCAAGCGTCGACCGACAGCCAGGGAAAGCTCTGGCAATGTCAACGCTTGCAGCGCAAGCAGCTCACAAATCAGGGGAATGGAGTGAATGGCCCATCCGCTGAAGGGCTTCGTCGACGCCCATACTCCTCTTGGGTCCCGCAGCAACACGATGAATCGGGAGGTGGCCAAATAGTCAGCCGGTACAGCTCTCACCAACGCACCATGATCTACGATGCGGGTTGTCTTAACCACCAAGTATGGTGCAGTGTCTGGGGTTTTGTCCAACTCTTCACAATAGCTCTGTAGATTCGAATAAGAATCGCGATTGACGACGTTGCCGGTGCAGTTGTGACAATCGTACAGGCACTGCAAAACCGAATCTGTTTGCCGCGCTGGCATGGTAACAATCCCTTCGCCTTCAACGACTCCACCCAATGGTTCAAAGATCGTTGGATGAGAGCCATTTCCAGCAACCAAATCCAGAACAAAGCACGATGCCTCACGGCCCATGGACAGGATATGTACCACGTCTATTGCCTCCTGTCGCCTCGCCACCTTTGCCCGTAGCTGAACAAGCATGTTGCTGCTGCAGGCGGTTGTTTCGCAATCTGCTTCAATGGTGGCGTGGATGAGCACATACTGAGCGAGGACAAGTGACAGCCACGCAGGTGCCATCGGTACAACTAAGAGTCCGCTACTGGTAAACAAGGAAAGTCGTGACCTCACACGGCAAGCGCCGCGGATCTGAACCAGAAACACGTGTCAGCAACCTAGCGAAAGTCTTGGTTTTAATTGTTATGCTATATCATTATCCCAACACCCAGCGGTAAGGGCTTGCGAAACAAGATCATCCCTGCTGAGGCCCAATCCAACAAGCAGGATTTCCACCTGGCAAAGGACACTCACGGAACGGAGGGCTGGAAACCGATGTGCTGACCAAGTTGATTCATGATCCGACACGACTTAGTCGACAGAGCTCCTGGAGTAATGCAAGTAATTGCCGGACGAGGAATACCCCAAAGCCACATGCAAGCACATCATGAATGGCAAGCCCCGGACACTCATAAGAGTTGTCTAGGTCTAGACGAGCACAGGCAAAACACGTCGATGCCGTAGCCATTTCTATTCGCGCTGAAACATTTTTGAGGTAGGGACTCCGGACGAGCCTTCGACCACAGGGGCTCGTTCTGCGATCGCCTCAGAAAATTTGTCCTCATGAAATCAGAACAGTTCGCCGGCACCGAGCTCCGAGTCCAAAGGCGCCAACATCAAGAGCTTTGGGGCTTGGCGCTTGAACCTGCAAGCCGATGACCCTCTTGCTGCCAATCCTAGGCAGTGGCAGCGCCTCGTTGTAGAGGAGTCGCACAGAGTAGGTCCTGCCCAAAATGCAAGGGTTGCACAGTAGACAGCATTCATCCTACCAAGCATGCGGTCGACATCGACGAGCAAAAATGGGCTTGGCTCCTTCTTTCCAGTCCCGTCCAGTCTATGTGCAGATCCTGTCCCCACATGCTCTCTTGCGGGCAGTAGGTACGGTGTCGGGAGTTCCTTTCGCGTGGCCGATGTCAGCGGATCCAGGCCGGGTCTCTTCACCTTGAACTTTGCATCAGGACGGAGATTGGACATATGTCCGGTTAAGCTAAGCTGCAAAGAGTTCCACGGCATCCGGCAGGCCTTCCGAACTGCGGACCCACGCCACCTCTCGCAGCTCTCATGCATCAGCGGGCACATGCTAAACATGCCTGGAAGACTGCGCTTACCTCATCTCCCCCAATCATGTCCTCGCAGTGCCGCACTCTTTTCTTGCCAGCTTGCTAAACTCAGACAGCATGTCATCGGCCGCTAGCCTGTCACATGGTCTTGACCCGCAAACTCGAAGGCACGATGAGCACTATGACACTGTGAGCACTATTATCGCAGCATGAGGACCTTGTCCATCTCAGCCTCGAGTTCTTGAGAAAGACAATTGAAGGACAGCTTCAGTTCCTTTAGCTTCTTGTTCTGCTGCACTGCCTCCAAGAGAGCCTTTCCTCCGGCGTCGTCAATGCGATTGCTCGTCAGCTCCACGACGATCACGTCAGACCGGGACAGAGATTCAGCCAGAGCTCTCGCACCCTCCGAGCTTATGCCACAGCTATTCAAGGACAACCGCGCGATCGGCCTTCCTTTCTCAAGTAGTGTCGCGATATGAGCGGCTCCAGCGTCCCCAATCGGTGACATTGAAACGTTCAGATGTGTCACGGTCGTGTTCTTTTCCAGGCACGTGCAAACGTATTCTATTTCTTCGGGGCCGAAGGCCACTCCTTCTCCATCCAGCAAGCCGAGAGACGGAAGCATCAGGGTGTCTAAGGACTCATCATCCTCGGCAATGAGTGGCAGTATGTCCTCGATGGGACCCATAGGAACTTTGGGAGGCCATTGCCTTGGCGCTTTGGGCTTTGCCGGGCTCTTCACGATCTTCCCTGCCTTCGGCGCCATGGCACACTTCGATTCGCAGCAGTGTCCTCATGTAGTGCTTCTTCATTTTGTACACCCTGCTCGTTGGACCCCTCCTGGCTGGTACTGCTGTCAGGACTTCTACTTGGCATCCTTCGCGTGCTGAGCTGCTGAGTCCAGAGGAACGCAGCAAGCGAATACAGAGTCGCATCTACAAAAAATCGCAGTGCCTGCGCAAGGCTCGAGTCGTCGTATGGCAACGGCTCCGAACCTTGACATGCACTAAGTGCCATGTTCAACATGCCGACTCTGCCCTACACGTAACCATCGCGACCTCCGCGGGAAGACCACCCGAGGCAGTCTGCGTAGCCCAACCTTCAACGAACAGAGTGCGAACGACGGGAATCACAGGAGTTCACAGATGCACGCGGGGAAACAACAGATGCTGAAGCTGCCGTTTCGACCTCGCAGAATGGTTTAGCGGCTTGGCCTCGGCATGGCTTATCCAAAGCTGTGACGACTCCTTCTGGTTCCACGTCCGCGTCCGCCCAGAAGCGTTAGCCGCAGGATCTGCCTGGTTCTGGGCCTCGTTCCACCCGAGCTTCAGGAGTTCCGACAACGACACCCCCATGTCCATGATGGCGGGTAGTGATCACGAAGTGCTCCGGGCTTCTTTGGCCTTGCATGAAGCTGTCAGACAGCCCTGGGCGCCCCTTGAAGGAGGCACCACCCCACAGCAGACCGAAAAGTGATGCAAGCACATTGTCGAATCAACGTTCTCGAAGCACGCCAGAACTTGATCTGCCGGGCACGTTCAGGACAGGACCATCTGCGAGTCGCTGCTAGAAACGAGTGCGTAAGGCACAGCCAAAGCTCAACCTGCTCGCAGTTCCTGCCGATCTACCTCACCATGCTCTCTGTTCGGCATGTTGCCCTGCCAACTTGCCGTCTCCTGAAGCTCCACTTCCGTTCTGGTGGCGTCCATCTCCGAGTCCAGTCTGCGAGTTTCTGATGCTGCAGTTTGCGTGGAGGATACACCTTGCTTCAAGGTCAAGCAAAGCCAAATACTGCTCGACAGCAGGACCAAAAGCAACGCTGTGTTGACAATGATGATGGTATGTCCCAGGCTATGTCTGGCTCGCCAGATCGCTGTCACTGTCGCAAAGTTCGCCCAAGGGACCAAGGCGCGATAGCCAGAAGGAGAATAGACTGACCCGTGATGCGGAGCGGGCTGACACCAGACATAAGTGGGCTTCTCAAGCCACATATTGCTCAAGATTTGGACCGGGCCAGACGAATCTTCGGCGCTTAGTAGGCTTGTGCCAACAATATGCTCCAAGTGTGGCCTCGCTGCGGTAACCTTGCGACCGCTCAATTGGAGCTCACTCCCTGCAGCCAGGCACCGCCGCTTGGTGGCTGTCTCCACATGCCTATCGGGGGCAGTGGCGCTTTAGCCCAGATTTGCAACACCCGTCTGCCTGGCCATCTCGTTGGCCATGAATGCGTAAATCAGCGCCGGGATGCTCAAGATTGTGAAATCCTGCCCGCCGAGTGGTCGGAATGCAGGGTAACCCGGAGTCCCCGCAGCAAATTGAACAAACACCATGAAGCACACAGGCCTGATACCTGCAAAACCCGCAGGCGCTAGGACACTGGCTTGGGCTAGCGGCCGACTATGACCAGCCTGCGTTGAGAATGACACTAGAGTCACTAGAGTCACTAGAGACAGTTTTATCGGAAATGGAAATTGCGACCTCCAACCCGACAAGCGAGATCCTCGGCTGAGTCCAGGTGCTGCGTGGCCAAGTCGGGAAAGGAAAGATACATCGCATTCACTGCCTTTGCGCAGGGTAGAGGTGGATTGTTCCCGGCTTGTGCCTTCAATGGTACTTAGCCCCAGGATTGAGAGTTGCGGCCCAACGACGAAAAAAAACGGCGGAAGGATAGTTGCACAGGCCACCGCCCTGGACGAGATCACCGGCAAGTCGAATATGCCCCTCGCACGCATCTTCGACGCTGAGAGCAAGGTCATGACGATGATTGAAATCACACAATTGCCAAGCACCTTCAGTCCTCGGAACATGCTGGAATCAGGCAGTGCATTGCCCCCGCAACTTGAGGCGTCCCCTGTATTTGGCGAATACTGATACTGATTCTTGAAAGATGCAATTGGTGATTGCTTCGAGTGAGCGCACGTGCTTGTCGTGGACTCGGCCCTGGAGACACACTTGGTCACTTGGTGATTGGTTGCAGGCATGTTTAACAACCTGGAGTCAGCCAGAAATACTAGAGTTACTAGAGAAACTCGAGATCATCCAACAACTCGACAACTCGGCGCCACTCACGCATCGTTAAGGACTTCGTTGTGCAACATGTGTCCAGGGCATGTTCCTCCGTGCCCCCCAGCGCTTCCATTGTGCTCCCGGGCATTTAAAGTGTGCTCACGGCAGAACAACTCTTTTATGTCTCCTCTTCTCCTCTTAAGTTTCTCTCAGGGTTTTACAACACACTGGTATATAATTGGCTCCACGATAAAAAGACCCGGGGCACATCCTTTGGGGTGCCGGGGCGCTTCCCGTCCAGTCGGGGATCCCGGCGACCCGATGACTGCCTCGGGTGCTGGCGGTCGCTTCACAAGACTACACGCGGGTTCCTCCCTGTTGCATCCAGGACTCCCGCATCTCCTGGCTCCTTACCTATGATTACTTAATGACTTGTTGTGCCACGGTGCAGAAACAGCCGTTGTAGCTAGGTAAGTCATAGGTACAGGTGCCGTTGAGACGAGATGTGCACCAGGATGGGCACGAGACAGGCTCTGAGCAAATCCACACGGGTATCACCTTGCAGGGAGGTGTCGGTCAGGCTGAAGCACAGGGGCTCATGCATCACAACAGGTTCCAGAAGCCTATTCTGCATGAAGACGTAACATCAGATAGCTGGCTAGTTACGCAGACACATGATAGGTAGTAGGTCGGTGGGGAGGCAGGGAGGCAGGCCAGGTTGACCGAGGTCGGTGAATGTCGGTGATCGTGGTGCCGGTGGGTGGGTCGGTAGGTCTGGGGTCGGTGGGGTGGCCGGCTGGGTGCACGCTTGAACTTTCTCGCAGCAAGCCCCATTCTCTGCTCCGTTTCCAACACCCCACAGATGAGGGGAGCTCCGACAGGGACCCATCAAGCCAGAAGGTGTCCATCTGAGTCGTGACGACCACTGGCAGTTGAAGAACCTTAGGCTTGTCACATCGGAACGACTCGAGCCCACCTCACACAAGGTTGCCATAGAGGGTTTCAGGCTGCTGGCGAGGCACACGCAGCTTCATGAATACCAGCAGGCACTTGGAAAGCGTGCTCAAGCGTAGGTTTCGGTCGCCCAGCTCTGGAAGCTTCATTCGACACCGGTCCAAGAGGAGCGCAAGGCAATTAACCATCGCGGTGCCCTGCACATTTTTTTTTCCAAATGCGTCGCATGCAGCATAGCCGTGCAGAAGCGTTACCGTATACTATATGCAGAAACATGCAGAAACACTTCCAACCGAAAGCCAAGACACGGCTCCGATGAACAAGATCAGGGCAAAGTACGGACGCTGCGAAGTCGACTGTGACTCTCGTAACCGGCCATAGAAAGTGTGAGTGTCCTAAGCAGATGTACCATGTGCACGGACATGCGTTTCGTACTCCATGTCGATGCCTTCCCCGATCCCAACCCTGTGCCTCGAGACAGGCCGATAGGAACCTGCTTAGCTAATCGCCGTGTGGATGGGTTACAAATGGTTACAATACCCTCGAGGATTCTGGGCTGAAGCCTTGAAGCTACCCAAGCTTCGGGCTTGCTTGTAGGATCCTCGGCATTACGAAAGTCTGGGCGCGTAAAGGCAATGGTGTTTCAGAACAGGGCGGGATGTTCCGATGCTAAGCGTGAAGAAGCATGGGACTGCAAAGCCTAGCCCACTACAAACAAGCCCTTCGGGGGGCAGCCAAAGGCTCCGGCTGACAGCCTTCATAGGACAGATTCAACACGTTGGTGTGCAACTGTGTATGCACTAGACTCAACTCCAGAGCTGAGGGAGCGAGATCAAGCAAACTGGTAAGAGCCTAGATCAGTGTAACCGGAGCGGCGGTTCCCTGAACTAGCTCCTGTCGCCAAGCTGCGTAAAGCGAACTGAAGCACAGCAACCAATGTTTGTGTACCCAGGTCTTTACTGACGCAGACAGTCGTAGGAGCAGCTGCCGACAGCAGCAGCTGGCCGGGATCCGAGACGGAGGGACACGCTCATCGCTTGCCCAGGTGGTCGCATGCCTTGCGACCGACTTTTCCACTCTAGCTCGCGCTGGGCTGCCTGCGCTGTGCGAAAAATCTCAGCCCGGGGCGAGAGGATCGCTTCCGTCTGGTCGCAGGCACGTGCGGCCAGCGCCACCCCGGCCTCGAATTGGAGGACTTTCAAGGCACGGAAACCGAAACCATGCTCTCTCAATGTGATTCTGCTTCCGCGAAGCTGGAACCATCTGCAGCCGAAGTTGCAAAAGATACTGAACAAGCGAAAACCAAGAGATACAAGGGCAGAGATCCGGAAGACGTGTCGGAAAGCCCGAATATGGTCCTCAACTGCCCCAGACAGATTTTCACCTGCAGAACACACCAGCAGGACCACGTCGGACGCATGAAGATCCAGCTGCTTCATTTGCTTGTCAAGGAGCATTACTTGATGTCCCTCATGCTGCGCCAAAGTCAACGTGGACACGCCGGCAGCTGTCCTCAGCAACGGCAGTGGTGTATCTGTAAACTGAACTGAAAACCTACTAGAACTCGTTTCTGTTATCTGATGGACAACCATCCGTCCATGCATACTATGTATGCAAGCACTGTGCTCCTATGGTGCCGAACATGGCTGGGCTTCTAGCACATCGACAGCCCGTGCTAACATGTCTCCTCGAAATATCTCCATTAGGTGCTTGGTTTTTTGCAGTCCGCGTGATGGCTGCGGCTTGCTCAGGCCCCCTATTGGCGAAGGGCCGCTTTGTCGCACGTTGCGGGGAATGAGTGGATACCACGCCGAGCTGCGCATGAATGCAAGTCGCACCCATGTTGAGCACGCGCACACCGGCAGTGTTAGCAGTGGCTGCGGATATCTCATCAACTGAGACGTAGCTCGTCTGGAGGAACATGTGTATTTCGTTGGCCTGGGCCAACACAAGCGCACACCATGCACACCTCATTGCTTGCTCTGCGGTGCCATGTCATGCACGTCCCCTGCAGCGCTCAACTACACCTCGTCGGGACGCTGCGAACCGGGCCAGTTTCCCGAGTGTTTCAGACTTATCACACTAAAATTTGGCACGAGACACAAGGGCACAGTTGCCACTCATCACAGCCACGCTCGCCAAAGGGATCGCCTCAAACGCAAGCCAAAACCCCCAAATCATGGCACGAAAGAACAAGCCCAAACTCCTTGATGGGGCATTTGCGGAGAAGCTCAGACTAAAGCTAGACGGTGATGCACTGACGTCTCGCCTACGGCCCTGAGGACAGCCCAGCAGCATGAACGAGCAGAACTGCAGGTGGAAAGAAAAAGCAGGAGCAGCCGGCCAGGACGTTCGCCGTGGCAAGGCAGCGGAGGCTGAGGCAAGCCCAATGCTGAGCTGTGAGCTCACCTGCGAGAAGAAAAGCATTTTGGCTTGCAGCCTGTGCCTCCACCATCACGCACCCAACCATGGAAATCGTATCATATCACGTTTCAGAATGTTACTTAGGCTCCTTCTGCTTGTGATCGCCGAGGCTCCAGACGGGTCTTCATGCAAGACCGGTTGATGCTGGAATGTGAACACAACCGCCAGCCTCTGTTGCGTCACTGGCCACGCACGAGGCACACAAACACTTCCTCTTTTTCTTTCATATACTTTTCCAATCATTTCGGAAACAAGCCGAGCTACAAGATGGACCCTGCCAATACCCAGTGTTGTTGGGCGACCGTGGCAAGCCAAACTGCGATGGGCAGGTGTGTGCTGGCAGCATAAGCCCACACCCATCGACGCACCCGCACATCACGGAGAGCCATGTGGCGCGGCTCTCGCTGACAAGCATGTGCAGATGTCCAGGTCAACATCGATTGCAGCGTAGCAGCCCTGTGCAAACAACCAGGAAGCAACTCAAGGGCCGGTTCTACGGTTGAGCCAAGGCGTGGTGGTGCCGAGACTTTCAAACCTTACCCAAAGCGTACACAACGGAAACTCGTGCTGCACCCGTCAATCTTAAAGATGTCAACCAGCCTGTAGTGGTTTTACTGGCAGAGTCTGCTCCTACTTCTGCATCTGGAGCTTTAGTGCTACATTGGGTGCTCTGTCGAGCAATGACTACTTGAGGTGGAGGTGGAGCATCGGTCATTATTTCATCAGCCGTGCCTGGATCTCGCTTTGGCCAAAGCTTCTCCCATGTTGATGTACCGGGACGCGCAGAGATAAAGCTGTCCAGCAAGTGGGGATAGCACTGCACCGATTAGGATGAAGGTCAATGCGACCGGAATCCATGTCTTCAGGAGGATTGGGAGCCGGGCATAGGTGCAGCTTGCTGACCCCCCGTCTGAAGTCCAGCCAATGGGGCATGGATGGCAAACATACTGGCCGCTTTTGGAAAATAGCCCAGGACTGCACAGTGACCGTGCGTCGTCTGCTCGGTAAAGGTCCTGACCCGATGTGCCCCCCACAGAATTGGCCACATAAACCATGGCTGGCAAGCTGCTTTCCGCCAAGGGACTAGGCCGACGAGAATTGTTCGATCATCGATGATAGCTAGACCTCGACTAGAAGTGCCTGTTCTCTGAGTTTCCGAAGTAAAGCCACACAAGTTCAAGGTGACCAGGGATGACAGCTGATCTGGTGCCGATTGCTTGACGAGCGGCTGCTCGAAGGCACGGCAGGATTCACAGCCCTAACACTCAGCACCGCCAGCTCGCGGAACTTCATGTCGTCCAAGGCGAATACATGCAGTGTGCTGGCTTCCTCAGAGGCCAGGTCATTAAACAGCAGGTGCAATTGCCACAGCTCGTGTGCTGTAGTAGCCAGACTTGAACTGACGTGCCTGAACATGCAGTGTAGGCCAAGGTACAGTTGCTGCCTGAGAAGCTCTGACTTTCAAGTCACGCACTCCATAGGTTTGCAGACATTTCTCTCCAACTACCATGCAATTCACATGGCATCCAGAATCTTTTTTTGTACTTGCACACCTGCTGAGCCGCGCACGAGCAGCACGCCGTCCGCTGCGAGAAGGGCGTGAACCGACCCTGCAGTGTCCTTGATCTCGAGGAAGTTCCACCCGTGCTTTGGGCGGGTGCGCACAGGGATCACCTTGGGTTTGGTGGAGGGCGTGCTCCATTATGCTTGAGTGTGGATAGAGCGCAAACGGCAACTGAGGATGTCTCCAATGATGCGGAAAGACCAGCCGCCACCACCGAATCCGAAAGAACAGCCAGTGAACATATCTCACCTGGCACATGCTCCGCACCCCCTCCCTTCGCCAATTCAGCCGCTTGTCCGCGCCTGGCATCCGGATTCTTCTGAACCCCATGTCAAAGAACTGGAGGTCTATCACCAACAGGTCGTCGCTCGCCCCAATCCACAGAAACTCTGTCGATGAAGCCAGGGCATTAACTGGACCTTTCCATCTGTCCTCCCTTCCCTCTCTACTCTATCTAGTACCCTCTGTTTGCATTTCGGCCATTTCTAAAACCACCCAACCTCGGGATCTCAGAATGGATTCAGCCTCCAAATAAGGTGATGGCGATCGATGCAAGCTCGAGAGGTTGAAGAAGTACACATCACTCGGCCACGCACCAATGGCAAGCAAATCTAGTGTCGGCAGCAGCTCGGCTGAGGTCGCTCCGGCGAGCGAGGAATACACATCTAGTTGCAAGCGCGTGAAAGGAAACCAAGGTCCGGATGAATACCGCGGCTGTGTGCCGGAGGAGGTGGAGAACACGGCGACAGCACCTGGTCTCGGACTCCAAACTTTGAACTCTCTTGTTTTGCTGCATGCAACGGACAACGTGTCACCGCTGAGGAAACGAGTGCCGAGTGTCCTTGCCACTGGCCCACCAACACCGTGTCATTCGAGATTGAATGGACAAAGCTTACTGGTCTTGGCACAGACAACTCGTCGATTGGTTTCCCCGCCGACGACATGCCTGCATCACGCTCGGATGGAATACATGCCTAGGGCAGTTTTGCAAACATGCTTCCCTTGCTAATGCCAACGTCGTAGCCACGCCCGCCTGCATGACTGAAGATGGAGACGTGCTTCATTGACGCCACGACCAAGCCTTCAGCCAACCCGCGTTCAGTGAGACACACCAGGCACTAGATGTCCAGGTTTGGAAGGGTCTTCGGCCCAAGCTGGAAGTTTCGGCCTCTCCCAGGCAAGTTCACCATGCTGATCCCCGGCGTGTCCAGAGGGAGAGCTCTCGAAGGCCGCACGAAGTAAGCATGATCCTGTAACACCTGCACGCGTTCCCCGGAATTCAAGGCAGGATCAGCCGAAAGAGTCCGGGCTCTTGCCTTCTCGTCGAAGATGTCTACCGTGTTGGACCCCGTGATGACTGCAAGCCCGTTGTCGTCCAAGACAAGTATGGGGCTGGGCCAGCCGTTCGTGTACAGCTCCTTCCGCGGTCGAACACCTCCAGTCGGAAGCTTGTGTAACATGCAGCTGCGTATCTCCGCGACGCGATGCGCTCACTGCGTAGGCCCCAACCCCAAGCAAGCGGCTCACGAAAGCAATGATTGCAAGTGCATGCTGTATGGAGACCAGCCTCCTTGCACAACTTCGCTCATCCTGGGCAGCAAACATTTCGACCAGTTCGCAACCGCAGAAGTTGCAAGCGCTAAGCCGACGGCACGAACACCTCAATCTTGAAATCTACACAGCCTTGGTGGTGCATGAGGATCAGTTGCTTCAGCTTTGCAATGCCGACCCTTGTCGTGCCGCACCTGCCGCAAAGCCACCCGGCAGCACCGCCAGCGACACGTAAACCTGAGCCGCAGTTCCCGACATGCTGTATCCCGGTATCCCGCTGAGATAGTAAAGCCATTGCCCATGCTCGTTTCTAGCCATAGTTTCACATGCTGCGAGGATTAGATTATCTGTCAGACTGCGCGTGACTCCACAAGCAGGCCCCAGCAAGTTAATCTCATAGAATACAAGTGGAAAATGGGGGAACTAAAGCCTGTGTTAAAGTGGTATGTGAGCGTGAGGAGCGCACGTGCTTCATCTAAACACGCACTTTCGTTCACCTCTTTTTCAAAAGAACCGAATTTTTTCCCAAAGACAACTGAGGAGTGAACAACGTTATCTGCACATGCCCTCTTTAGGGCATCCTCTTCTGAAAACCGCCGCTGACCCCGAATCTGGAACGAATGACTGCGCTGTTGACCTGTCCGTGCGGGCAAATACAAGGCATGTCAAGCTTGGTCCGGAGAGCTGCACAGGAATCAAGCCTCTTCAATCGCCGCGGCGGAGCACTTTTTTTTTTCCTAACGTGGGCGGTCCCCGGTCTCCCTTGCTAAGGTTGGCGGTCCCGTTTTAGTTAGAACTACTATGCACTGCAGCATTTCCTATTGTTTTGCATCTAGCTATTAGGCAACTGCAATTAGCAGGGTGGCCTTTGGCCGCCAGCTATTGGGGAATT